AAAACACTTATGGAGGTGTCACTGCCGGAACAGAACAGTCGGTCCTAAAGGCAGGWGCTCTCTCCACTCACAGCTCTCAATCTCCAGAGTGCAGTTCTGCTCATCCAGGGGATACCTCCTGAGGTCCATCATGCAAGCAGCTGTGGTAGTTATCCTGAAAATCAGAAAGCAAAAGATAAGTAAATAAATAAACATTTATTATAAAAACCAGCAGTGCAGAAACTGTGAGCAGTTACCTAACAGCTTGCGGACTGTGGTAACGCAGTTAGTCTAAAGCATCCAGCACTTAGCTTTGTCTATCATATTTAAAGGAAACTAAATGTCCACTTGTCTTCTAAGTTCCTCAGCTGGTTTCACCTTACAGGACATTGTCATTTTAAAAAACACATTAACCTTACCTCCTCTAAGTCAGAGCTCTGACGCCATTACTGCTTAGAAAATTAAACAATAAGTTACTGACAGATGACTGTGCACCCTCCCATTTTTAAAACAAGCTCATTTTCCCCGACACCATAACTGGCTGCCGTCCATCCTATGATTAAATGGAAATTTGTGAATAAGAAAAAAAGACATCGTGGAAAAAAAAAGCAATGTAGGCAGACGTTCAGTGCCTGCTCCTCTGAAGTGGGTCACAAAGAAGTTATTCCTTTGTTAATCAGATGTGCAAGGAGCTCCGGCGGCTGATAATCAGACAGTTAAAACGAGCAGTAAAGTGAAATGCAAATTCAAAAAAAAAAAATCATTTAGGCTGAGTCTGGCCTGATTAAAAGCCGGCAGCTTGGCAGTTAGCCACTGGATGTCTTCATTTAGTTCAGACCCAGATGAGGCTGAGGGTTTTCCATTAGCTGATCTTAATAAACAGCTAAAATCMTAGCAACAAATTAGGTTTTTATGACAGATATTTTATTGTAATTGTGAGAAAATGTGATCATTTCACTAGCAGATTGTGAATTATTTGCTATGTCTAACTATCTCTGTGATCGTTTGTATCTTACTAAAAGGCCTGTTTGGTCTCTGTTGGAAAAATATTTTATCAACCACTAACTTGTTTTCTCAAGAAAAAAAAAACAAGCATTATTATCTCAACCTTGTAATTTTGACACAACACAAAAATAGGTTTTGAATAGGAAAATCCACAATAAAACAAAAATAACAGAGTTTCACCTAGTCTGACATTATTACTGAAAATTAACTTAGTGAGACTTTTCCTGAAATTCCTACATTAGTTTTCTGAAGGAAGYGGTTCAGCAGATTGTTGAATCTACAAGGTCTCAGTGTGTGCATTTTGAAGATGTTGCAAACCAGTGTGAAAGAAACCGTTCCCTGGCATGTATTTACATAAATATGAAGAGATTTTTGTCAAATGTGGGCAAAATGGACCAGCGTAGAGACAAAGTAAAAAAGATCAGTTCTGCTAATCCACTAACAGCTAATAGCAGAACAAATTTTTCATTCAGCAGATTAGCTTTTTCCCTATAGACCAATTATTTACAGCAAAATTAGGTTTTACCAACTTTAAGTCTGCTAACAGCTAACTAACAAGCTAACATCAACGGGTTTGTGTCAATCCCATCAGTCTGGAAGAACAGGGACGCCTGTTTACAGTTAGCTTCCGCTACTTTTTTAATGTTTAGCTTTAGCAAAGGTTTCTTTTTTTGTGAATTATGAGTTAACAAAATTAATTTTTTGGTTAGCTGTACCTCTACTTTGAAACACGTTTTCATCAAAATGTGTATTTGTACGTGGATGAGACTTGCAGCAGAACATATATCATTATCGGACCGGTGGCTGAGAAGAGACGTTGGCGGGATGTACCTGAGCCCATAGAGTACGGTTCCATCGGGATGCAGGCGGATCATGCGATTTTTGACTGTCACTCCATGAACGAAAGACTTCTTGTCGTTGAGGAAGTAGGTGTCGGGGACCCAGAGCTGGTCGGCGACCCTGTTGTCCAGTGTCAGATTTAGGGGGATTCCAATATAGGCGAGACGCTTGTCCCTCCAGTACTGCTGGAAGTACATGGTCAATGTGTAGTCCTATGGAAGGAGCAGAAATCCACATCAGCTTTGCTTTTTACCAATAAATTCCACATCACATACTTGTAAGCAGTAGTGGACAGTAATGGAGTACATTTACTTGAGTACTGTACGTCAGTAGATTTTTTGAGTAACTTTACTTTACTTGAATAATTACTTCTTTTGGGGAACTTATGACTTTCACTCCACTACATTTCAAAGACAAATATTGTATTTTTGACTCCACTACATTTCTTAGAAGCTTGTTGGTTACTTGTTACTTTTCGTTCAGCATAGCTTTGTAATCCACTTTTGCTGTTTTCCTTTCTTGAAACGCGTTTGGCCACACTCTATGTTCCTCACAATGGAAACCAATCACAGTCATAGCTCACACCTGGGATAGATTTCRAATTATGTCATCCTCATTAATGGTGGCGAGCTGAGCTCCACCGTCATTTCAAACAGAACCYAGGAATGAAGAYGGCTGAAGAAACTCAAGTAGAGAAACCAGAGCAGCATGACCATATCTCACCTCGATGTTTGAGATTTTAAGACTGAAAAATATTTTGTATCAGTTTAAACGTCTTCTGTTTTCACTGTGGATAAACTACATTTCTGCATTTAAGAACTCACCACTCACTTTATTGCATTTTTATGTATTGGTTGTACCTTAAACCKGGTTTAAGATGGTTACAGCTGACCAACCTTATCACACACTAAAGGCAACAACTCTTCTATTGTGACAAATACTGAGCTAAGTTGATGTGATAGTAAATGAGTCATTCCAACACATACTCTGATTGCTAATACAGTGAAGATCCCACAAGATTTCTGTCTAAAACTCTTGATGCAAGGCAGCAGGCATTAGCCACCCCTTCAATATTTGCCAATAAAGCCCTATCATCCCTTCAAGAAATTCATATCACAAACCAGCAAAAAGGACAAGTTTTAAAAAAGGATGATCTTTTCTTGACCAGCATTGGTCTTGAAAATAATATTTTGCACAATCTCACGATTAACCTTACAACTTTTTACTACAACTAATCACGATACTTTTCTCTATAACTGATTAGTCCACCTTTTCAACTTGTCACATGTAAAACTGTTGCATTTATATATTTTGTGTGTGCAAATGTGTGTAAATGTGTGTTTTGTTGTAAATTTTAAGTTAAATGTGAATTCGTATTTTTTGAATACGTTGAGTGACCTTTTTCACAAAATGTTTCTTTGTCAAGACAAAAATGTTTCATACAGCTCTAACATTTTTTAGATGCTTTATTTTATATTTTTGATGGCCATTCAAGTCCACAGTAAAACAAATGTTTCAGTCCACCAAAATATCTACCAAAAGAAGGGCTTTATCCAGAGTGGACATGCTCATGGCGTTTCAGATGTGCTGACTGGTTGAATCTCTTCTCACACTGGGTACAGGCACAAGGCTTCTCTCCAGAGTGGATGAGCTGATGTCTTTTCAAATTTCCTGACTCTGTGAATCTCTTTTCACACTGGGTACAGGCGAAAGGTTTCTCTCCAGTGTGGACACGAAGGCGAACCCTCAGATTGCTTGAATTGATGAATCTCTTGTCACACTGGGTACAGATGAACTTTCTTTCACCAGTGTGCTTGGGTTTATATAGTTCTAAATTCCTTGAGTCTCCAGCACATTCTTCACTCTGGTTACTGCAGTGAGGTTTAACTGGAGTGTTGATTGGCTCAATCAGCGTCTCCCAGACAAACCCATCACCCTCGGGCTCTTCCGTTTTGATTGACTCAATCAGCAGCTCCTGGACAAATCCGTCTCCATCGGGGTCTTTAGCTTCTTCTTTGATCATAGAAGTCTTTTTCAATGGCACACATACAAAAAAGAGGGGAAAATCAGATTCAGAAAACCAAAAATACAAAGGAAAATGTGACTTGACCAAAACCCCCATTTCCTTTTTTTTAAATTAGCACAAGGCTCACACGTAATATATATATATA